GGGATCCGAAGACGTCAAAGAGCGGGACTCCAACGGAGGTGTGGAGCATGCTGGCGATCTTCATAAGGACCAAAGGGGCGTACGAGGACGGCTTGGTGGCGCAAAAAGGCTGGAACTGACTGAATGTTGATGCATGGACTGGGACGAGAACGACAGCTTTCTTATGGAAGGAGACGACTCCGAGAGGGGACGTTAAATGGTGGACAAGAAGGTCTACCGGGAGCACGACGGTGGACAGGACAGTGACCAGTCAGAGACCTTGGTGTGGAGGCAGACCTGGTACTGGACCACACACCTGAAGTGGTCCAGGTTGAGACAGACGCTCTGTGCATCCATCGTATGGAGCACCGAGGGCGACACCCACTCACAGCTTTTTACTCCTAGACACTTTAATAAATGGCCTTCTAAAGGTTTAAACCGGCAACCTGTGTCGTGTTTCCAATTATGTTATGGCTCTCGAGCCGGGTCGTAACACACGTCCTTTCACATGTATGACGTTCAAATTTTGTGCAACTAACACTTTCCTTTCTCAAGTTATGACTAAAATTAATCTTAAACATGTTGCTTCCTTCCCAACTCGATCAAGCAGCTCCTACCCGCACCATCAATCCGACCAATCACGTCTCGGGCCATCTCCACCCACATCAAGACCTCCGCCAGTCAGGAGAAGGGATGTCTCCACCCACATCAAGACCTCCGCCAGTCACGAGAATGGACGTCTCCGCCCACAAGACAAAATCTTTTGCAGAGACCCCTTACTCAATGTAGCTGGGAGGCAATTATCCACGCTGGTTAATACAAGTTTGCCATATGGATTCAAAGTGTTGGATAAAATATTAAACAAGGTTTTAAAGTTATTTAAGTGACACTAATTTATGTTATTGTGAGATTTTACCAATTTACCTGGTGGCTTGTTGCGGGGTAGTGTACCCTGGCCTGGTTGATACCCCTTTCCAGGAGCAAATTGTTGGGTGTACATGGAGTAGATGGATGAAGCTGCCAGAGACTGAGGCTTCTGTAGCACAGCAGCTGGGCCATCGGACAGGTCAGGGGTGTATGGACGCACAGTAGCAGCTGGGGGGCACTCCTGTTTGCTGGGCAAAGGGAGGGTGTTGCTGTGGATGGACAGGACTCTGGGAGCCTTCAGGTGACCACCAACAGGCCTAACCTTACCAGGGAAGGTCCCTGTGTTGTATGACGGCTTGGACAAGGTTGATTTAGTCTTACTGGGAACWGGAGGTGGCATCCCGATTTTAGACAGACTTTTACTTGAGGCCTGTTTGTGATAAAAAAAAAAACAACAACAAAAAAACAAAGTGGACTTATTGAGGATACTATGGAAACTAATGCAGAATGCTAAAATGTGTTGAAGATGAAACTAAACTGTTAAATTAACTTAATCAAACCAAAAGCTAAAACTAGACATTAAAAGCAAAAATGAACAAAACAGGATCTAAAACCTAAAATTAACAAAACAAATTAAAATTGGCAAGACAATATCTAAAAAAGTTTAAAATTAGCAAAATAGTAGGCACACTGCAAAAACTGTCCACCTAACCAAGTTTTAAAACCTTATATCAGCTAAAAAGTCTTTTTGATCTTGTTTTGAGACTGATTTACTAAACAAGAACTGATTGTGTAAGAATAATCATCTTGTTTTCAGAATGTGTAAGATTATTTG